CACTCCTCGCTGATCTTTTCTTTCTGGGTTTTGAAAATGTCAAATAAGCAACTTGCTCAAAAATCCTCGTGCTCTGATGGTCCGGCTCACATGGCGGGGGGGCGGGGGGGCTGTTTGACAGAGATGGATGGTTTCTCCTGCACCTGTAAAGGTGAAGGCAGAAGAAGGGGTGATGTAAGCCTCAGTACAGAGCCACACTCCCTCACCTCACCTCACCTCTCTCGCCCTTCCTGAGGAAAATAAACCAACAGCTTCTTCCAAATATGTCAATCAGTTTGCTCTTCCACTGAAGTCTTCTCCACCCGCTGTGTATCCCCTACTTCTGCCTCTCTCTGACTCACTTCTGCAGCTTTCTGACCATGCAACACCCCCCCCCGCCCTCACCCCCGATTCATCTTCACTCCTCACTTCTTTCCTTCTCCTCTGCCCTCCTGCTGTATCTGAATCAGGAGCTGCTGCTCTGCTCCTCACTCTTTATCTCCACGTTCTCCTTGTTTTCCTCTAGTTTCACCCTCCCCCCCCCCACCTCTCTGTTTATTTTGTCGCTTCATTGTATCACTTGGCGGTGGAGTGACCTCAGCTGCAGGTTTCAGGGTCTCGCTCCACGTCTTCCTCCTGTCATCCACCAGCCCCCGCCCCCCGCCTTGGGCAAATTTGCTACACAACGACAGCTGAGTACAAATGCATATTTTAATAGCCACAGATGGCGCTCCGTGACTTGTTAGCCGCAGGAGCGAGCGTCGATGTGTGGAGAGCGTAGGCAGTGTGGGAGTTGAACCAGCAGTCTGTCAGACCAGTGTGAGTCTAATGGTCTTTTCATATTAACAGCATGATGGACTCTGTGTGTTCTGAAGCAGTTGACGGTGGACGTGGACAGATAACGGCAGAGTCGTTGTTATGGCGACAGCTTGACTTGATCTGGACCTGTGGTCAAAACAGCAGCAAAACGGGGGCGGGGGGGGGGGGTGGAGGGGTGGAGACGTATCGTATCAACAGATTGTTGCCAACTCACAGTCCTAGTTATGGGTTATTACATTATGGAAGTAACTCGTTACCATGGGAAGGAGCTGTAGGACCTTTGACCTCTGATCCTGAGGACAGGTGTGTTTTTTGTTTACGTCTCTGTGTGCAGTGATTCTTCTTCTCCTCATGAATGTGGTCGTGTCGAAGCAGAACAGACGTCTCTCTGTCTGACGACCTGTGAAAGACAAACGTCTTCCTGTAGGAATTCACTGGAACCGATGTTTGTCTGGTTCCCGTGATGGGTGGAGCTGTAGGTGGAGAACAACGTCTCCGACTGACGAAAAAGAAGAAGAGAAACTCAAATGTCACTGCCAAAAAAAAAAAAAGCCAAGTCCTCATTTTATTCTTGGTAAAATGTGTTTTTCAGGCAGTGGATTCATCTGAGCAGAAACAGGGATCAATTTCAGCAGAAGAAGAAAGAGCCAGAATTCCGTCTTGTTTCGGGGCGAGCTGTGCTCGGAATAAAGCGCGTGTCTGTCATCACAGATGCAGCGCACAAACGCGTCAGACACACTCGGCGGTGAAAAAGTGCCCACACACTCACACACTCACACACTCCGCCTCAGACTGAACACAACACATTATCCCTGGATGTGCGGAGTTCAGGAAGTGTAGCGGCAGATGTAGCGGCAAAGCTGTGATCTCTGGATGAATTCTCCTCCGTCGCTTCTTTGTCTTTTTATTTTGTTTTGTCTTTTTTTTTTTGTAGTCAGGCTTTAACCGCCACCACTGAGTCTGACAGGAAGACGAGAGAAAGTTGAGTCAGGCTGTCGCCGCCGAGCGGCTCCTTTTAGAAAAGAAGTCGCAACTGCAGCAGGAGAACCTGCAAAACCTACAGAACCTGCAGAACCTGCAGAACCTGCAGAACCTGCAGAACCTGCGACTAACGGCGTTCCTCCGTCCAGAGTTTGATGGGCTGCGACCCACACCGTTCCTCTAATGAGGCCCAGCTGCTGCTGTTTGTATTGGTGTCACGTCTGAGCTAATGTAGGAGACGCTGAGGCCTGAGAAGAAGAACACCACTCTCACCCCCCCCCCCCCCCCCCCCCCCCCCACCCCAGCCCCTGTGTCTCGGTGTGTGTGACACGTTTAAAAACACACACACATACACACAGTGTTTACAGTTGCACTTTTGGATATTTTTCCATTTGAATAATTCCATCATTTGGATCAGAATCAATACTGAAACTGTTCGTTTTTGTCTCTGTGTTCCAGCAGCCTAGTGGTCAAATACAGGAATGACAGCTTACATTGATTCATCCTGATTTGGCTTCTTTTTCTTTTTAAAATATATAAAGGAGATGTGTTTGCTGTTTGTGGAGTGGAAGTGTTGTTTTGTTCTGATGTCAGAGCTTTGGTCCTTGAGTCTTAGTGTCTGTTTGTAGCAGAAGATAAGAAAAAAAATCAGGGTCAAGTATCTGTCAATACGTGGCTCGTGGTCCAAGGATGGTCCTGTAATGATTTGATAAAATCATCATCACTCATCAACTTCAGAGGGAAGATGGAGACGTTTGTTTTCACTGCCCCCCCGCACCCTCCCCCATCTCTCTCGCTCTCGCTCTTCTTCTTTGAGGATCTTACTCCCCCCCTCAGTCAGCTGACTTCAATCCTCGCCTAATGACACATAATAGCGCCACACTCTGACCGTGAGTGGATGCTGATTTGAATTTTTATTTCCACTGCTGTCACTGCTGGGTGACACCGTCAGCAGAGTCTCGGTGTGGGCCCCCAGGAGGGGGGGGCATTGGGGGGGGTTAAGCCTATTAGGCAGTTATTAGTCCTTAATTCGTTTACTGCCTGTGGAGAGACAGAAAGGACTTCCTGTCCT